GTAAATGCTTTTCAATTTCGGGTCCAACCCCAAATAGTATTTACCTATCTCTTCCTTCCCAAACTCAACTTTGTTTACGTTTGTGTTATTTGTTTAAATGTTTACAATTTTTTTAACATTAAAGTGAACATATTTCATTCCTAAAGTACAGTCAATAAGCAGATATAGCACCAACAGAAAACTAATGACCATCAGATATAGCTGTTTCAGACCCCGTTAACAACATATATAATTTGCTCACAGCATTTTAATGATTAAAATGTCATTTATTTTAAGAGAATATTGTTTGTTTGATATATCAGTATTATATATATCCCTCTTTACACTCGTATGTTCATTTCTGATGTAGTGGTGAAACTGAGGATATTTTCATAGCTGACCTTTCAGTTGGGTTAGCAACGGTAATTGTTATGCCAATCATTTTGTGCTTTTCAGTTTTCACTAAAGAAGCAAATGTTTTTTTTACCATTTTTGTGAGTTATTGACCTGTTTTCATTTTTTTATAATAGATATTTCAGAAATATAAAATGGATAAAAGTTGGATGAATTTGTCAATGATAAGCGACGACTATCGAAATGGAGTAAATTTTCTTTTAAATATTTGCTTTTGTAAATGCAAGCCAAGAGAATATGATTATTTGCTTTTGTGAGAAGTGTGTTAACATTAATTGGCACATTCACAAAGTTTTCTATGAACGTCTAATTGATTTTGGTTTTGTTCGGGCTATAAAAAATGGAGATTTCATAGAGAGCTTACACCTCATAGATATTCTTCCGTAAGTAATCCGACTTATCTTCCTAATTCTCATCATCGATCTGTTAGAGAAGATGACATGAAAGATATGTTGCGGATTGTTCGAGCTCTTCAAGCAGAGGAAGAAAAAAATAGTGAGGGATCGACTAGTGTTGGATCTTTGGAAGTTCCGATTACAGTTAAAGAAATTGTAGAAATTGAAGGTAATGTTCAACTCTTCATTTAAATGGTGGTTGGTTTTTCTTATTGATTTGATTTTGAAAACTTACACTGAATTATTTCTAATATAGTTGAAAATGGTCAAAGACGCAAGACTAGAGAGCGCACGATGCTAAATATATTATACCAACTTCTTGTTGGGGACCGTGTGAGAGTTTCAAAAAATGATATCGGTCAACTTATTAAACTAGAAGCAGGTGTTCTATCTAGTTACTTAGGCATGGTTGCACACAATGCTACACTTTTACCAATCGATTATGAGTCATGGCATGACATGCTGAATAATAACAAAAACCAGACTATAGATTATGTTAAGGTAATAATGTCATTATAATATATAACCTATTACAGTTCAATAGTAATTTATATTTACTTTGAACACTTGTGTGATTTATAGGAGAAATTTTCTTTAAATGTCTCAAACAATTATTTGAAACAAGTGTTATAGAAAAAATGGATAGACCACAAGAGTTTCTTGAAAAATCAATATTTTAAGAATAATATCAACCTTGAAGAGAAGATGTGAAATGTTCCACCTAGAATGCTCTAGTATCAATGTGAAGATGCAGTCAGGTTTTGAAATACAAAGAAAGGAGAGACATAATGCACTTTAGAATAAAACTATCATTATAATATTGACTTATAAGTAATGCAAATTTCATATTATAGGATCAAGAGCGTACTGGAGTATCTAGCAAATAGGAGTAAAAGTTTACTCACTTAGTTAGGTCAAAGAACTTTGCTTGTATAGCTGATGACAAGGTATTATTATTTTTAATTATTAATTATCTACATAGCAATTTTAAGTTGGTAGCATTCAGTAATGAAAATTGTTTCTATTATTTATTACTTTTTGTAAGTATTAATTTCTATTTCATATTATAGGAAGTTACATCTGATAGTAGAGTTGGACACATACAACTCTTCAACATGACATACATAAAAAAAGATGGCTCTCATATGACTCTTAAAGTTGTAGAAATTATGGTATGTTTATTAGACATAAATTCTGAATTATGTTATATTTATATCTATAGTATAATATTTTTAGTTTAAATAATATTTCAATTTGTTCTAAATTCTGAATTGATTGTTAGGAGAAATTGAAAGACAAAAGGGCGGAGTATGAAGATATAACTGCAACTCATGGTTATGATAATGTGGACGAGATCGAAAAATAAGTTACTGTTGAAGTTTTGGATCCTAAAGGATATGGCCAGGTTTGCTTTTAAGGATCATTTGTTACCCCAATCAAATATTTTGGATCCAACTCATCTCAGTGCATGTCATCACAAAACCAAACATCTTGATCAGAAGTTAATCGTTTAAAACAACAATTGATCCAAATGGATGAAAAATTGCTTAAATTAAGCTGAAGCAAGCAACACACAGAGAAATAGCATATCAAAAAAAAAATGAAAACTTCCAAAATCAACTTGAAGTTATGATGAAGATGATACAACATAACCAAATGCAGAATCCACCATCTTAGGTTCATGTGTTATTTATTCTAGTGAACAATGTTGAACTACATTACATTTCATTTTAATATTTAAAAACTTTGATTTATATTTGTCGTCAAGGATTTGTATCTAATTTGTGTTGTAATTAAATTTCAAGTTTGTTTTCATCAGATAATGCTACATGATATTAAATTTGAATAATAAAGAGCAAAAAGTAATATCAACAAATCAATTAAACTTAGTGACGTTTGTTCAGTGTTTTGGGATGAAAACTCCCCTAATGGGATAAACTTTTCTGGATTTTGTCAAGATCAATGTCACCATATGCATAGTCAATAGCGCATTTGTGGTTAAAAACACAACTACATATCACAATATATAGCGACGTTTGGGAAACAAACGCCGCTCAAGACAATATAATTCGCAATGTTAGACAACAAACACTGCTATATATCATAACAATTAATGGCATTTGTTTCCAAAATGTCGTTATATAACTCGATATTTTGCGGCATTTTATTTATAAATGTCGCTAGTTATTGTGGAATTTGATTTAGAGGTATTTATTTATAAATGTCGCTAGTTAATTTTTCTAATTTGATTAAGGAGTTAATTGAGTGACATGTAAAATGTAGAGAACCTAGTTGAATACTTTCAAATTAGGGGAAAAAAGAAGTAGATTAAGTTTACAAAAAAAAAAAGTAGATTAAAATTGGAAGTGGCAAGTAGAATAAAATTGTGAGGATATATTTTCAATTTTGATAAAGTGAATTAGAAGGAAAGTGCATGACCGTAAGTGATGATGGAGGAGGGACAGGCCGTCATGCGCACACACCCATGTATTATTATCCACACCAAATTACCAAAAGGATCTTTTTATGCTTCCCTCATCCCTACGCCTTTTTATTGCCCTATTAAGATACAATACGCCTCTTCATTTATATCTTTTGTTGACTTATTTTTCTATTATAAATATTAAGATTTTGGGTAAACTACATGTTTAGTACCTCAACTATCATTTTTGTTTGTTTTGATCATCCAACTATTTTCTTAAAATCATATCTAATGCTTAGTTTTGGTTTCATTTTAGTCACTCATCATTAAAAAATTAACAATGATGTCGGTGCGTCACCATAAGGCAGTGTCATATCATTGAAAAAATAAAAAATATTATGCTATTATTTTTTTAACGAATGATGACCAAAATAAAATCAAAACTAAACGTTAGGTATGATTTCAAGAAAATATAGTAGATGATCAAAATGAAATAAAAGTGATGATTGGGGTACTAAATGTGTAGTTTACCCTAAGATTTTTACGAACAATCAATTAATGTGGAAGAAAATTGTGTTGAGAGAGTAACTCTTATAGTGAACCTCTACAATATCTATAGTTCTATTAACCGGACGCCACTTCTATCACTTTTTTTTAATACCCTCCTCATGTCTCCATCTCTTTGTGATTTTCAAATGCTGTTTAATCCTTCTATAGTTCTATTAAACTGGATTGAGTCTTTTAACTTATTTTTGGAATAATCAACATTTAATTCCTTATTTCAATATTTTTTTCTCATTTTAATACTTTTTTATCTACATTAATCTTATAATTTAACAAAACAAAAAAAAATCAATTTATTCTAGTATTTTGTTACCGACAACCTTACGTTTATTCTTGCTTTGACCGATGACATGAACTTGACCTAGTTTTTGGTAAGATGTACCATTTTCTCTACTATAGGCTCTTACTTCTTTCGTACCAACCCTCTTTCGTTAATTATAATGCTATACATACGAGTAAAACTTTTGTTTTCAATAAGAAAAGAAGAAGTCAATAATTCATTGTTTTGGTAGAAAATAAAAAAATTTATAAAGTTTCAAAGCATAGTAGAAGAATAATATCGTCTCAAATCGATCAAAGTAAAAGAATTATTGCTATTCTCTTTAGAGATCTCAAATTCAAACAACTGTGTTTATAAGATATATATATATAATCAATAACTAAAAAAGAATCCAATTGGATATTAACTTGTAATCACCGAGTTTATTAAAAAAAACCAACATCATCTCAAACGATAAAACATGCAGGTAGTTCAACAACCTAAGTAGATGAATTTTCTCAACTTATGTCTTTTTCTTTCCTCCCGCATGGGGTAATGTAAGCTTCACTCTTATTCTCCATAAACACCACATGGAATATACAGCAAAACCAATGAAATTATTGTATCCATATTTCTTCTAACTAACCTCAAGTCCCTCGTTAACCCAAAGCACGGCATACACATTGATTTATATTATCCACGTACAGTTAAGTGTATAATTTATATAAAGACATCGAACCTTCTATAAATACTATTATAATACGAAAAAAACATTAAATAATACGCAAGCATCTAATAATTTCAGCTTTCCATTAATATTATATAACAAATGACATTTTGCATCATCCCTTGTCTTCTTCATATGCTAAGGAAGAAAAAAAGAGTAAAAAAATCTAAGTAGTTTTCTTATTTAAGATGATGATCACAACCCCACCATGCCAATGTGATAATCGATTAGGTATTTAGGTTACTCATAACGAGAACGACGGTGATTAATTAGGTCATAAGCTGCAGTTCTTCGAGACCTCGGAAGATACACCATTGATTCCGAAACTGCGCAACTTCTTTTACACGAACTGTAAAGATTGATGAACCCCAACCTGTCACTCACGCTTCTCGTTACCTTAGCTCCGGTCCAGAGATTTCTGTCGGTTTCTTGATCACCGTCTTCCTTGGAACACTCGACCAACGCCGCGAAAAATGGATCCATCCGCCGGAAACTCTCGGAGACGCCGCCGGATTCTTTCTTCCTCGTTATCATGACTCCAAAACTGCTGGATTTCGAGGGTCGTGGGATATTCAGCGGAGGCAATGGCAGCAACTTCATGGAGTAGTCCTTTTTTGTTGTGATTTTGTAGCTTCTTTGGAATCCCTGGTAAATGTTCCCAAGAGAATGGTACACCTGAAAATCGGAATGGAGTTTCGGGACTGACAGGCGAACCATCGGGAAAAAACGAAGATCCCAGTGAAGATGACGATGATGATAATGAAAGTGAGGAAGAAAACGAAGGGTATTTGGCCGCCGGAACTATGGGGACACATTCTTTGGCTGCCGTCTGGTGATGCCCAATTTGAGTTGAGGATGAACCCATAGCTTTAGAGAAAATGAAGAGGGAGATCAATTTGTGTATTGTGTTACCATATGTGTTCTATGATCTTCCTCTTATTTTTGGTTTATTTAGGGTTAATAGTTAATTTAGCCCCTAAATGATTTTTATTCATCAAAATTGACCTTTGAAGTTTCTCTTTATCAACAGCTTTGGCCCCTCCTAACTCCATTAAAAAATTGTGTAACTTTTCTGTCAATTAATGAGTGTGGTGTAAATGATCAAATTATAAATAAATTATATTTTAATTCTTTCTAATAATTTTCTCTCTTTTTATTCTTTTTTTTATATTTCAATTAATTTGAAAGACTTTAAAATATATTTTTTTATGAATAAAAACGGTTGAAAGGTGTTTAATGACATAGACAAATCACAATGAAATTTCTAATTCAACCTGACGATTAGATTTGAAGGTCAAAGTTTGAGTATCCTAAAAATAAATATTAATTATGATTTTTGATAATTTTTTAGCAAGCTAATGAGGAATTAAAGTTGAGAAGACGATGATTTTAGTGTAAAATTCGGATCAAGAATAGATAAGAGAGTGTGGGTTAGAGCATTCTGAAAATTTTCAAAATCAAAGTTTTTATGTTCAATCTGACTCTTCAAGTACTCTCAATTCGATCCTTCATGTGCTACTCTAAAATTGAATTTAGGATTTAATGTGAATTGAAATTGAAAAGACGTCCTCCAATCTAAACGCTAGTTATGATTTTAAAAAAAATAATAAAAATTTAAGTATTAAGACAAACTAAAACTAATGATTTGTGTACTAAATACTTAATTTACTCCTATTTTATTAGTGGGTGGAAAACGGGTATTAGGGAATGAACCATATTTTTATTGGTACAAAAAATGGTGTCATTGTCATATCACAGTGAGTAAAAGCTAACTTGATTTAAAATATGCGATTACATTTTCAACTTTAAAATTAAATAATTTTTTTCGAAGAAATAGTTTATGTTACAAATTGGATCTATTTTAGTCCATACAAATTTATAATTTTGGGGGGATTTATTTTAGTCCATACAAATTTGATTAATCTTTCTATTGACACCTGACAGGATGGGAATTAAATTGTATTGGTGTTAATAGGCCGAAACCCGTATAGAAAGTTGTTGAGGGATGGTCCTCATGAAGTTGACCCCAAGCCCCTAACCTACCCGCTGTTAAATCGATCTTAATTATTCACTCTAAAATAGATTTAGTTTTAGCTGATTACTTCAACAATGTTTTGTTTAGTTTTAATTAATTAGTTCTAAACTAAAATTAATCTAAAACAACACTAACTATAAATCAGCTTTAAATCTTTTGTAGGCTAATTTGAAAAAAAAGAAAGAAACCATAATCTAGATTATAGAAGAATGCAGTAAAAGGTAAACAGGATTATTTAGTTGTTGGAGTGTTGAACTGATGATTAATGAATTGGGAGTGTATGTACTAATAGTATATACAGCACACCTTAAGCTATTTTGGAGATAGTGGTGTCTAAGGGTTAGATTTGGCTTGATTATACCCTCCAAACCTAAAACTAGGAATCACTCAACCCCTTTAATTAATTATAGCCTTTAGGTTTTGGGGTTAATTATTTGGTAGGTTTTCATTAATAGTTAGTTATTGTAAAAGGATATTTATTCACCTTCTTTTTCCTAGGTTGGTTACCAAATTTTTACCATGTTAAAACATGTCTTATAAATTAATTTATATAGTAGGTCAATAATATCTTATTGCTATCCTACCTATAACATACACATCATATTAAAATAAAGCTCAACATCACGTTGCCAAATAATATATTTTTATTCTGTGAACAAATTTACTAAGTAATTCGATTTTGTTGATTAAGTTATTTTTGGATATTTGATTTTTTGTTAATGCATGAACCAAATGACATCGGCGATAAAGAAATTGTTTTTATTTTATAAGGTCTCGAGTTCGAGTACCAGGAACGTTAGGGTGTGAGAATTCAATGTTAAATTGTTGAGAGTTGTTTTTGAACATATTCCTTGTCCTTACCATATATTAATAAAAAATATAACTAATAAGGAACAACGTATATGCCTATAATTCTTAATTAAGCATTTTTATTAAAAAAATTCTTATTTTATTGAATTTATTATTGATACGAAATTCCTCTAATTAATATTTTATAAAAGTAAATATATTAATTAAATTGTTTTTATTATGCTTCAATTATTTGTCTAAGTAAATAATTACACAATGATAGTAAATAAATTTGTTTATACTTCAATTATATGAACAATGTTATTAAATATTTTTTTAATAGAAGTAGTTAGTTTTATTAAAAAGTAAAAATATTCAAAATTTCAATAAAGATTTATAACCATCATTGTAAACTAAATACATAATTTGAACATTTTAAACTAAATACATAATTTGAACATTTTCTAATAACACTGAAATTATCTACTTTATATCATATAATAATCATATATGAAAAGGGTTAAAAACTCAACTAAAAGAATCGAACAAAAAAATAGATACAAAAAAATCTGATCGTATTGACAAACGAACCACAAAATGAGATCAAGCTATTGAAAGATTGTCGAGAACCGCAAATCATAGCCGAGTGTTGTGAGAAACTATCCACGAACTTCAAATCACGTATCCAAATTCAATTCAAGGGTCCATAGTAGGAAAAATCAATATGAATACAAATGAGCGTCATCTTAATCAGTCGTTGTGTCGTCAAATCCAACTTTAATAAAACATAAAATTAAAGAAACGACCAAACGACAGAGAAAAAAAATATGTCACAAATATAAAATTATTCTTATGAAAAAACTAAAAATAAAATAAAAAAACCAACAATCGACAATTAATATCAAAATTAGTGTCATCGTCGATTAAAAAAATTAAATAAAAAATTAATTTAATCTATAAAAAACACACAAACTCTAAAGAGGGAGAAAAAAATTAATGTTATTAAATAATTTAATATCGTCGATTATGTTCACTTGAGATATTGAATTTTCTTTATATCATGTGTGCTAGCTTTTATTGAAAGTAATGATTTTTTCGATATATGATTACTTTTTTTTCGCAAGTCCAAAGCAACAATCAAGACAAAGTCTGGCTAACCCTATCTGTTGGATGGACGTTGGGCCTTTTCTGTTTATTTTATTCAGGGATTGTAATAGAAGAACTTATCTAATATGTGAGGATCAAAATTTAACTAGACTCAGAATTTATTCCTTTAATTTTTAGTTATTCGAGTTAAATTTAAGTATTTTTTTATTGTTGAGTTCGAGTTGAGCTTAAATTTAAAATTTTGATTTAATATTTTTACAGTTTTAAGATTTAGTCCATGATTTTCTTATTTGTTCAATTCCCCTTTATTTTAAGTCAAATTTTACCAAATTTAAACTACACATTCTATACCATAGTATAATACCCATGTGCTTTCAATTTCTCTTTTTATAATATTTTTTTATTTTTCAATTTAGTCCCTCAACTTTTCATTATTCCTAATTTCTTCAATTCATCATTCATTTTAAGTCCTTTTTGTTTTACCAAATTTGAACCAAATGCTCCTATACCACTATAGAATACACATGTAACTTCAATTCCTATTTTTTACTTAAAATATACTCTCTTTTGTTATTTAGTCTCTTAATTTTGCATTTTTCTCAATTTAATTTTTTGACTACAATTGTTGTAAATTCTTTCTTCCTATCAATTCCTTGACTCCTTTATTCTCTCAACAATACTTTACACTCAAAATATCATCTTTAAAATATAATATTTTAAATATATTTTATAATTTTATATCGTGTTTGATATATTAAATAACATTATAATGTATATATATATATATATATATATATATATCTTATATGGTTAGAGAAAATCAAAAAATTGGAATCAATCCTTAACATAATACTATAAATAATTATAATAAAATATATATAGAAACTCGAATGACACGACTCGAATTTCTTAACTCGACTCGACTCAATCGATGATCGCTCCTAGTTCAATTACTTTGTTTCATGATTAGTGTCATAAATTGTATATTGGATAAAGATAAAATTAAAAGAAATAGTGTTAAATATAAAATTTTGATTTAAAAGGACTTAAATGAAAGAAATAAATTTTAAGAGGGGTCAAAAATATTTTTCCACTTATCAAAGGACTGAAATGCTTAAAATGATTTTTATATTTGTCCCTGTTTAACTGGTCTGCTTCACTTTCTACCCCATTCCACTATTGATGTATAATTTTGGAAATTATTTTCACCTCTTGAATGATATTTTCAAAATTTTAAAACAAGTGAATATATATAATTATTAAACCAACAAATACTCATAATTATATACATAATTCTTAAAATAAGTAAAAATTATATATTTATATAGTCAATGGTGATTATAAGATAATATTTTTTTAACTGTTGATAATATATACATATCGTACAAACATAACTAGTTAAATTCAGAGCTTGAGAGGAATACAAGTGAAAAATATATACATAACTCTTAAAAGAATTAAACAAGTGAAAAATATGTGAAAATTATACCTACTAAATATTCACTTGAGATATCAATAAAGGATAAAGAGTTTTTATAAAATGGAAATGGAAGGATAAAGAGTTTATACTTATAAAAATCTTAAAACAGCTTATTCGACTTAAGAAAAATAACAGATCAGCATACCATTAAGCCGGTAATTTGCATATTCTATTAAAATAGAGCAAAGAAGAAAAACCTGAACAAATCTTTTCTTTCTCCATCCTTTTTCCAGGCCATCTTGACAAAATTTACAATTTTAAGGCCTTCGTACGAATAACAAGAATCTGTAACCTAATACAAAGGCTCTCGGCCTTTGATGCGCCTCAATGCAAGGTAAGCCAACAACCCATATCCTACGAACATTAGAATCAAGATTCCGACGCTTAGTTAAGGCACAATCCTGACAACTTAAATTTTATCTCCTAATATAAAATTTTATGTCTGTTCACAAAC